GGGGGGGGTGTTGGTGGCTCAACGCTCCCTCCTCTGCCCCAAACCATAGCGAATGGTCGGAAGCCTGGGAGCCGCAGCCCGGCCGTGACGACAGCGGAGCCATAACCCAGGAATTCCCACTGCTGCTGCCCAGACGAGAGCGTTGTCTGAAAACCACGGCCGGGGCCCCGTGACCCAGCTGGGAATGAATGGGAATCTGTCCTCGGCTAAAACACTGAGAAATTGTGTGTTGCAGCATGTCTGAGACTGATCATTACGGGGGCACTTAGTCTGAGCTTCGCAGCGAAACCATTGTTGGGAGGGAGGATTACATGTTGCATAGCAATGCTCTGCTGTGATCCCTTCTCCCCATGGCTCTTGTAAAGCCATTTGGGCAGCCAGTCCAGCAACCCTATCTAATTTCCTCGGAGCAGCAAACGCCAGGAAAGATGGTTCTGTCTCTCTTTGTTTTTCCTCGTTCCGCCTCTGTCGGTGTTTGGTGTTCTCACAGCGAGATCAATGGGAATGTGTGTTCCTGAGTCAAGCTAATTAGCTCAAAAAACTTCATTTTCCTCCCAGACTACTCTGTTTGAGGCTACCAGACCAGGTGGTTGTTCAGAGGAGAGAGGGAGGACATAATTTCCGTGTATGATGCTATCCGTGACCCGCTAGTTGTCTTTGCTTGGCTTTGTTGTCATGGTGGAAGCTCTTTACAGCATTTAACTCAAAGGATACTCCTTATTTCTTCTACTCTTGAGTTACAACCCTGCTGCTGTGTGGTAGCTGTGGGGTTTGGACCAGAGGGAGCATGAAATATTTTGTGCTTTGGATTTAATTTAATTCATTCTGCCTCGCATCTGTGAGAAAACAGAGGCATTCCAGGTGGCCATTGCCTTGGTGTAGATGAAATGAGTATTCAGTGGTGATGCCTTGTGTTCAGGAGAGATTCAGGTCTGTGTAGGATGGAAGTAAATCTGGCTCTGAGCCATGATATGCCATGAAAAGAAAGCAGGAACTACCTTATTATGAGGTACCTTCAACACAAAATTATAAGTTTATGACAAAATCTTACTCTGCCTTTCTGCCTCATCTCCCCAGGACTTTTTGGGTAATAAAAGCCGTTTTATTCTGTCCTGGAAGCCCCTCCAGGTTTGAAAGCATGCTCTAGACATCTCCTCATTTGTCCCAGGGCCCGGCCAGGAAGGCTTTCTCCAGCACTGCTCCAAGCAACCTGCTGACTTGGATCAGCCCTGCTCTGCTTCCTGAAGAAACGAGGTGGATTTAAGTGCCTGTGACAGGAGCTTGCAACAAGAGGAGGGAAGGTCTCTGTGGAAGCTGGGGAGCGAGACGAGAAGCGGGAGGGCTTTGCCAAGACTCCTTCTGGCTCGTGGGTGGTTTGGGGCCCGTGGGCAGCGGTTCCCCGTCAGGCGTCGCCTGCGGGAGCTGCGTCGTGACTGACAGCAGCAGGGGAGGCTGCTGGGCAGGAGGTTTTTCTAGGATTTTCACTCTTGCTGCCTCGTAACATTCTTGAGTCATTCCCCAGTCCTTCCAGGAGCGGGTTTATGGGGCGGTTGGGATGCCCCACGCTCGCCCAGTGGCCGTATGAAAACCCCCGCGCGCTGGATTTCATGAACCGGGGCATTCATGGGGATGGGGACAATGGGAACCTTTTATGCTTTGGGCCACCAGGGCGTGACACCAGAGCTGTCCCAGCTTAATAAGGAGCTAGAAGTGAGTCAGGAAAAAACAGGCTATGATTCATTAGGGGCTTTGTTGGAGCCCAGATGAGGAGAATAGGTTCATCTGCCTAAATATGGACACTGATACCCTCTCAGAGACCCCCGGAGGGGCAACTGGTGGTGAAGAGCAATGTTTTTCAGCAGCATTGTTTGAAGTGGTGTTGTTTAGACACCTGAGTTCACCCCAGAGGGTGGGATTCTTACAGGTTGAAGTGGCTGAACTGAGGTGCCTCTGTGTGAGCTGGGTCCCCAGGCTCTCGTTATGGAGCAGAGATGTGGTGAGGACACTTGGTGGGAGCCTGGAGAGCTGTTCAGTGGAGCAGGTGCTGCCTCACTGCAGGATCCTCTGCCTGCTCTGGCTCTGCTGAGTCAGATGGGAGTTCAGAGGTGTTCCTCAAGTGTAGGTGTTTAAAATGTTTGCCTCAGTGAGGTCAACCCTGGCTGGCTGCTGTGATTCAAGAGCCTAAACCTACATGCTTATTCCTGACTCCATCCATCAGCTGCCAATCCATCAGGATCTGGTTTTCCAACATGTGCTGTGCCCTGTCTACTGGCCCCATGTGGATGCCGTGGCAGCAATGCCAGCTCTCCCACAGATCTCTGGAGAGAGGTGGCTCCTGACCAGAACAGCCTCGTCTCCAGGTTCCCTTCCTGAATTTCCTGACCCTGTCCTGTTCAATCAAGCTCTAAATCCAGGAGCTTGCCCACCAGCTGAGCCAATTCCCATTGGTTTCTGGCTTTCCCATCTCCTGTATAATGGTGGGCGTCTCCTTCTCCAGGTGGAGCAGATGCTTTGAGGAGGGGGTGGAAGGGTTGAGAAAAGCCTGAGCTGATGAATGGCTGCAGTGTGCAGCCCTTCTCCGAGGATCTCAGCAATTTCTGATGATGATCTGGGTGTGAAATCAGGTGGAGGGGCTTTGTTTCACATGAACTCAGCTCTCGCTTCTGGACAGGCAGTGAAATGTGACTTTTCATGAGGGATCGTGTGAGTGAGGGCTGGATTTTTTTCCCCCCTTCTCGGTGTTGAAACGTGTTCTGTACACTCTTGTCTGACATTGTGGGATTTCTTGTGGACTTGGCCAGACACTTTGGCACACAAGAGCGTGACAGCCCTTAACCAGGCCGGCCCAGCTGAGCGCTCTAAGCAGCAACACATCCCTCTCTGTAACCCCTCACTCGTTTGAATGCTACTGTGGATTACTGGGTTGCATTTGAAAAGGTCTTGGCTGTCACAGGAATGAAGTGTGACCACTGGCCGGGCTCTGCGATGCATATTGTCTTTCTAAAAATGTTTCTGGAATAGCAGGTTTGGGCCAGGCCCCAATTCCGAGTCCATGACCTATTGCACATTTGCACATGGAGCTCAGCAGGATTCCTGCAGCCAAATCATTAAGAACCGGATGGTCAGGAAGTGGATTGGAGCCAGTCCTGTGCTGTCAGGAGGCCACAACGTGGGCAGATGCCACAATGGGCAGAGGGGGAGGTTGTTTTCTTCTTTGTCAAATACCACAGATGCCCAAAGGAAGGGCACTTCCAGCAGGACCTTTTTAGGAGCCAGCTCTGTAAAACAAACCCTTATTACCTGCTATTTTAGGGGGTGGTTGTACCTTGCCCATTTAAAGTCAAAATGCAACTTATTTTGAGGGGAAGGCAGAATCAGAACTATAAATATTGATTTATAATCTATGGACAGAATGCAGGTTGTCTGTGACTGTCCAAATCACGTGTCTGCTCTCATGGAGCCCATGGAATGATCCCGGGTGTAAATCTCTCTCTGTGGAAGGTGGGCTGGGACATTCCAATGCCGTTCCCGAGGAGGTGGATGTGCTTTTTTGCCGTGAAGCATCTTTAATTGAAGAATAATTCATTTGAAAAGGACGGGATCCTCTGTTGAGCATCAGTCAGTTGATGGGTTTGGGGTCCTTTACAGCACCCAGGGGCTGTCACCACCTTTGTCTCTCTCCAAGATCAAGAACCATTGACTCTCTCCTTGTTTTCTCCTCCCTGTGCTGCTTTTCTTGGTGAAATTAGCCTTGTCTCTCTGTTCCCTCCATCTCATGTGTGTACATTGTGGTTCCACTGGCTCTGATGTCCCTTTCTCTGTCCACATTTTGTGGTGATCTAAAGAGAACCATTCCCATGCAAGCTCTCCCCAAGCAAGATTTGGACATTTTGCTCCGTGGAGACTCCCCTTTCTTTTTGTTTTGGGAATAAATTAGATATACACATTTACTTTCAGATATTTTGAACAAATTATTTCTCTTTTTTAAGGACCTTGAGAGATGAGTCTTATTCCTCATGACAACGCCCATTGCAAGAGTTGGAACTTTAAAATAAATAAAACAAATTCTTTAAGAAAGGATATGAAACTAAGCCTTGCACTCAATGGTCCTTCTGAACATGCTACCACAGTCTGGAATAATATCCCAAACACAGGTTGGAGTGGTGGAAGCTCCCTGGATGTTTTGGGAACAGCTGCTTTTGTTGATGGTGATTCAGGCTGTTGTTCTCGAGGGTTTATATATTTATATATATATATATATTTATTTCAGCAACATGACTGTTTTTCCTCAGTCACGAAGTGAGCTGTGTGGGATGTTAAGCCCAGTCACTGCTGGTGGGAACAGCACAGTTTAACCGTGTTGTCACTGAGCCTGTGCTGCAAATTGCTTGAGTTTAAGGTGGTTCCAGTGCGTTGTGGTGTGGAGAAGGTTCCTGCTGCCCATACTCATGTTCTGGAGCAGGTGACATCCACTAAACTGACTCCTTCCTCTTTTACTACAGCTTATCTACTTGTTATTATTGGCATAGATAAATAAGTGTTAAAATATATATTAATCTCTCAGTTGCATCACAGTTTCAGATCTCTGCCCACGTGATGAGTGGCAACACTGGGCAACCTTTGTGCACCTTTCTAGTACCGTCAATTAGCCAGTTAAGCAAAGTTCTGGCAGGTGAATGTCATGTTCTGGAAATCGAGGACCCTTCTAGAACAAGTGTTTCCTGGAGGATGATGATTTTTCTCTCCTCTTCCAGCAGATAGATTTCGAATTGTCATTGGCTTGGTGTGTTCCTGAAATGTTCTTCTAGCAAATGTTTTTTTTTTGTTTGGTGTCTTGATTTCTGAGGATGACTTTTCTCTCCTCTTCCAACAGATAGATTTCGAATTGTCATCGGCTTGGTGTGTTCCTGAAATTTCTTCTACGGAATATTATTGTGGTTGGTGTTTTGATTCCTTCCCCCATAACTGATTGTCTCTTGGGGCCCATGTGTTGTCTGCAGGTCATCAAGGCCGGGGTGGAGACAACCTGCAAATGCCACGGCGTGTCCGGGTCCTGCACCGTCCGCACGTGCTGGAGGCAGCTCTCCCCCTTCCACGAGATCGGGAAGCAGCTGAAGCAGAAGTACGAGACGTCCCTCAAGGTGGGCAGCACCACCAACGAGGCCACGGGGGAAGGGGACATCTCCCCGCCCAAGAAGTCCGTCCCCGGGCACAGCGATCAAATCCCAAGGACTACAGACCTCGTGTACATCGACGACTCCCCGAGTTTCTGCATGATGAGCCGGTACTCGCCGGGCACCTCGGGGAGGAAGTGTTACAAGGACAAGAACTGCGACAGCATCTGCTGCGGGCGGGGGCACAACACGCAGAGCCGGGTGGTGACGCGGCCGTGCCAGTGCCAGGTGAGGTGGTGCTGCTACGTGGAGTGCAAGCAGTGCACCCAGAGAGAGGAGGTTTACACCTGCAAGGACTGATGGGGGGGCCCGGCCGTTGTCACCCTCCCGCTGCCCGGCGGGGAGCCCTCGGCGGCGGGCGAGCCGCGCACGGAGACAAACAGGGTTTGACGGACCCTCTGGGATCTGAACGCTGTGTTGAGACATGAGCACTTTGTAGGGTACAGGTGACCCAACTGTGTTGCTGTTTTGTTTTGGGTTATTTTTTTGTTGTTTTATTTTGTTTTTTGTTTTTTTTTGTTTTTTTGGGTTTTTTTGGTGTTGTTTTCCTGTAGACTGAATTCCGATGAGGTCCAACCATGTGGAAATAAGTGCCTGTCCCACTGGGGTTAGACACCAGTGGACCTTCACCTTAGTCGTCCACGCAGTTTTGACGGATCGTTTTTCCTTGGAACATCTTGGTTGTTTTCACCAATCCTCCATGAACTCCTGGGCTGACAGATTCTCTTTGGCACAAGTTATCCATACTACTTTATTCCTGGAGCTTCTCCAGCTGCTTGCAGAGCTGAGCAGGTACAAAAGAAAGATCTTTCCGGCACGAAAAGTGATCGTTCGTCTCTCCTAAAACTGGAGAGAGGGATGTTGGGCAATGATGGTTCCTGATGGTTCTTCCAGTGGAATTTCTGCACAGGGAGCAAACAAGGCTCTGACAAAGAGACCCACTGGGAGGGTCAGCTCTTTAGTGACAGCTCCACGTGCATCGTCACCAAGTACAGCCCCAAAAACTCGTGGGTCCACCACGCTGCAGACAAGAAATGTATCCAAGAAAGAGGTTGGGAAGACAAGTAGAAAACCAGCTATGCCTGTCCCCTCCAGTCCAACCACATATTCTTTATTTAAAATAATTCTTCCAAATGCAGGTTCTTTAGCACTATCTCTGTCTTAAATCTAATTATTATATATATTTTTTTTTTTTAAGAACCACTAGATTCTTTGGTCTCATTTTTGTGCATGATTGATTTTTTTTTTCCCCTCTCCTCTTCCCACCTCTTGCCGACGGAATATTCGCCCTGTGGTAATTCCGCTTCAGGAATCTGGATCTGGAACTTTATATTTAGTCTTACACCGGCCGAATTTTGGACGCGTGTTTTTGGAGGAGGACAAGAGAAATCCAAGTGCCTCTTGGAACCCAGGGCTGGCCTGCCTTGTACAGCAGCAGTTTGGGCCTGGATCAGACCTCTGGAGGAGTTGACTTTTCCTTTCCTAGGTCATCATTCCATTTTCTCCCAACCGTGGCAGTGGTACATGACACAAGCTGTATGGAAACCCTACGACCTTAAGATTATTTTTTTGGTTGGTTGGTTGGTTTTTTTGTTTTTTTTTTTTAACCACTAGCTCGAGAACTGTACTTTCAAAAAGGCAAACTCTTGGATTTGGAATAACCAATGGACACACAGTAAAGTGGCCAGAGAGGGCAGGAATTTGACTGCAGTGGTAGATCAATCCCAGTGCTGTGAAACAGATGACAACCTTCAGCTTTTCTTGTTTTTTCCTGGGAAGAGGAGACTCACAATCCAGGACTTGATGCAACAATATTCTTCACTCGTTATAAAAAACGGATTGGAAGCAGCCAGTGGATGCCTCAACGAAGCTTCCTAAGGAAACAATGGAGTGTGGAGGGCGTTTAATTTGATTTTTGGTGGCAATTTTTCATTGCCCAGTGGCGATTTCCACCAATCTTGTATTCAATCCTTTTCTCAAAAGAGGAATTTTTCCACCATTAGTAGAAATCAGCAAGGAAAATGAGAGCAATTTTCCAAGATGGACCATTATTTTTCAAAGCCTTTTTCTCCTTATTTTTTTGTTTAGTTTCGTTATTTTTCCCGCCACACACACAAAAACAGTCGCCACTAATTTAAACTGTTCCTGTGCATCTACTGGGAGGAGAAAAGATCTCTCTTGTTTTTTCTTGGTAACAAATAACCTGCAGTTCCAGCCTGGCTCGTTGGCATCAAATCATCTTGATTTGGGGGCACGGGGAGGGACGGGGTGTTCATGGCACCGTGCAAAGTGAAGCGAACTGGCTCTTTTTGGCTGTTTTCTTATTTGCTGTACAATTCTGGAGGTTTTGGGTAGCGCTGGAGGAGGAGGAGGAGGAATCCACGCACGGTGGAATTCCCGTCTTCCACCTCGCAGGAAGGTCTCCCAGTTTTTGGGAGGGGAGGGGGATGCAGTGCTTTGAAAGTCACCCACGAGCAGTTTTATCTAATGGTTTAAAAAATAAATGGACTAGAAACTTCTAATTCAGCGTGCACATGTGTATATGTATATATATATTTATATATACACACATGCCGACACATAAATATATATATATATATAAATATTGAACATTTATTTATTGTAAAGCCCTTCAGAAGGACCTTCTTATGGTTTCATTGTGGTATTATGTTAAATTCTCTTTCTCCCTCTGTCTCTCTCTCTGTCTCTCACACGTATGTGCAAACCCACTGTTACATTTTTATGTGTTTTTTAGGATAGCTCTTCCCCTCCTAAAGTTAAAGCTGGGCCCAAAACCTCCTCAAGACACGAGGAATTTTGGGGTCTGAATTCCTATTTCTGGCTCATTTCTTTTTATTAAAAAAAAAAAGAAAAAAGAAAAAAAGAGTCCTTAATTAAAGGATGGGCCGCAACTTATGTGCATTATTATTGTTATTATTAATTAATTATTATTATTATTATTATTTTTATTATTGTTATATTTAAACCCTGGGCCTCATTTTCCCTCTTTTCACTGGTGTCTCTGCCTCCATTGACCTTGGCTGGAGTAAATCCACGTTGCACTGGTGTGAGAGGAGAATGAGTCCCTAGGACAGGAGAGAGGGTGGTGGTGGCATAAATATCCTTGGAGAGAAAATGCTGGAGTGGGATGGGATAGGGAAGCTCGGTGTGTTTGTGTGGGGGAGAGAGAGAGAGAGAGAGCTGGGTGGGAAATGAGGCAAGGTTGTCAAAGCTTGACTAGAAGAAAGCAGCAAAGAGTGAATGAACTACTGAGTGAAAGAGCTCTTCTGTGTGTTAGAACTCAGCACTGAAGCCTGAATGCTTTCTGTAAGTATTTACAAAAAAAAAAAAAACAGGAAAAAAAAAAAAAACAAAAAAAAAAAAAAAAAAAAAAAATAATGCAAAACCACCACAAAAAAAAACCAACAAAATTGTATTTATGTTAATGTTGTTATATTGCCTGTTGTATATTGTAAATAGCGAGGTTTATTCTCCTGTGGTTTAAAAAAAAAAAAAAAAGAAAAAAATAGTTATAAATAACTAAACCAGTAGCGAGGCACATGTGTTAAATGTATAGGCAGTGTATAAAATATACTAACACTCTGAAATCAGGAGAACTTTGTCTTCTTGGCCTTTTAACCTAGGGTGGTAAAAAAACATATGTGGGTTATTATCTCTTCTCCCGCCCCCACCCCCAACCCTGCACCACGTTGGGTGTGTTTAGGGCAGGGGGGTGTTTAATTCCGGCGTTTTCCAATGTTTGCCTTATCCTCGAGGAAAGAATGGATTGAGGGGGGGGGGAGAAAAGCCTTTTTTTGGAAAAATCCCGTAGGGATGAGACAAGAGAGGATGTAAAACCACCTTGGAACCCTCCCGAGTGCTCGATGGGTTCGCTGGGGGTCATGGAGGTGTGTGGGAGTTGAATGAACTCAGTGACACAGAATCCTCACCAAACATTGTGGGGAGCATCCTGGAAAACCTTCTTTTTATTCCAGCTGGATTCAACTGGATTTTTCCAGAGAGGTGATTCCAGCCCACCCCCCCCCACCCCCCCCCAGGCAATTCATCGGAATTGCCCTTTTTTTTTTTTTTTTTTTTTTAAAACTACTAAGAGGGTGGATTTGGGTCCCTGGTGTTTTTTTCTTAGATATATAAAAAAAAAAAAAAAAAAAGAAAAAAAGTGCAAAGCAACTTTTCCCCCTTTTTCTTACCCCCCCAGAGAAACAGATTTTTGCTCAGATGTAACTGGAGAAGGAACAGGTGGGTGGAGGGGACATCTCTGACCCCCTTCCACCCCCTGTCCCCCCAAAAAGTGTTGGTTCTCCTCAGCTGATCCAGCAAGACTTGTGAGATCAGTTTTTGGGGGTGGTGGGGGGGGGTGCAACCATTATTTATATAACTTTTTTATTAATTTTTTTTAAAAGAGAATTTAGCTGACGGAAGAATATTTTTATTGAATAGTGCGTTTAGTTTAATGTCAGAAATATAAAAAAAAAAGAAATATATAATATTTTTGTAAACAAGGCAAACTGAAAACGTTTGTTGTTTTATATTAGAATTTTCTATTAAAAGAAATAAAAACCCACGGAAATAATTGTTGCACCCGTCATCTGTTTTTTTTTTTAACAAGCTTCTGTTCTGTGTGACTGACTCATATATGTGGAGACATGCAAAACAAGTCCTAAACATTACATTCTCGTTGTCTTCCAGTTACCAAAAACCTGGTGAAACAGGCAGGGTTTAGTCAAAGGGGCTCTTTTATTATTACTAATATTATTATTAATATTATTATTAATATCAACACTGAAAATAAGTAGTTTGTAATTCAAATATAAAAAAAATCTTCAAGTTTTCCCCTTTTTTATTTGAGCATCCTGGTTTTGAGATGGGTCTGGATGAAGAAAAGCCAAACCCTACTGACAATAACCAGGTATTTGCCATTGATCTCAGTTGGCCTGAGAAAAATGATCCTTAAAAAAGGAAAATTTGGGGGGAAAATAAATAATAAATAATAATCTGAGTTAAATGAAGAGGACCAAATTCCAGGCTTGATCCAACACGAGCAGTTTTAACCTGTTTGAATGGGACGGTGTAAAACTGGGGAGCTGGGAATGATCCCAGGAAGCCTTTGGAAGCAGGGAGTGAGTTATGGTACCCTCTTGTTTTCAAAGGAACTTTTGGGATTGCTGCTTTGGAGACCTGAGCAGGGGCAAAATAACATCTGAGGTTTTTTTTTTTCTGCTGGCAACCAGCTCATTCCCAGGTCTGGAATTCCTTCGTTAATCGTTTCTCAGCTGCCCTCGTTTAGCAAACGCGGCTTGGCCGTGGTGGGCTTGGATGAGACCCCGGATGGAGGGACAGATTTCTCAAGGCTGCTTTCATGGAGTAGATGCTGCTTAAGGTGATTTTCTGGTGGATTATGGTGCCTGTGAAAAATTCCTCAGTTGATGCTGCAGGAAAATTGGGTCTGTTCTGTTCCCGACGGAACAGGTGCAGTAAAGCTCCTCGTTCCTGGTTTATCCAGCTCCGGGGGCACATCTGCTGGCTTGGGCTTGGCTTCCATGCCCAGCTCATCCCAGCTTTCCCTTTCCAGGGTACTAACTAGGTGATGACTTCTGGAGAGCAGTGTTTTCCTGCAGGAGATGCAGGGCCTTTCTGGACCATACTGTTGGTATAACTTGAAGGAGGCTCAGTGTGGCACCGCAGAAATCCATGGAAATCATGGAATGCTTTGGCCTGGAAGGGATCTTAAAGATCATCAACCAGTTCCTGGTTGAATCTGGTCAACCCCCTGAAATCTGTTCATTACTAAAGCAGCCAAGCTTAGGGCCATGGGTATTATCACTGAATAGTTTTTATTTCTCCTTTTCGCTGAGTGACGTCGGATTTGACCAAATTATTTACAAGTTCCAGGAAACGGAATATTTTTAAATATTTCTGAACAGGATATTTCTTTGTGGGCAGGGAGGAAAAGCAGATGGATGTTGCAGCACTGGCATTGGGATGGGCTTCCTGTAACTCCATTTCTTCAGGTGTGGGTTCAGACACAGAAAATTTCGGCTGTCAGGGGAAATATCTGAATTCAGTGGTTTTTCTCAGTTGTTGCTGAATGTTTTCAGAAGTGGGAAAAATTAGCAGCATTAGCTAAGGTGACCCAAAAGGACAGGAGGTTCCTCCCTTGTCAAGTGCTTCCTTCATCACAGGATTGCTCAGGAATGTTGGGAAAGATGCTGCCGTTGCGTTCGCGATGGACCCAGAATCTTCTCTCTTTAAATAAGGAGTCCTCGCTTTGCCATCACTGTAGGTCCCTCTAGAAGGTCTTTTGACCCGTGTGGAGCTGCAGGTTTCTCCCTGCTGACAATAGAAGGGGATAAAGACACGGACACCCAGGTTAATAGAGGTGGGGGTGAATTCAGGATTAATCAAAATCTGTGGATAACCCCTCCAGCTCCCCTTGGACCCATTTGAAAGCAGCAACACCAAAAGTAGCACAGGAATTTCCCTTGTTCCACCTCAGTCTCCAAAGATGTCCTTTGAGACACGAATGTAAAGTCTAGGATTTGTTTTGCACACCTGGGATGGCATTTCCTTTTAAAGGGAGGTGGGAATACTAACATGAAGGATTAGTATTTTTCTCGTTTTTCTTTGTTTTGTTTTGTTTTTTTTTCCAATGTCTTATGGGAGCCTAAGTTATTTTTCTCTACCTCATATGTACAGCTTGTAGGTATAAATCTGATTCTGAGTGACTGTGGAGAATGTATTTAAGTTATTTAACATCTTTGTATAACATAAAAGAAAAAAAAAGCCAGAACAAATGAAACAATAAATGTATTTTAAATTATACTTGAAGTGTGCTCCTCTTTCTTCACGTCTCTTGGAGAAGGTCTGTGTGCAGTGGTTGTGGGAGACCCTGTGCCTCCTTCAGCCTTATTCCTGACTTTGAACTTGTCCTTGAAGCCTGATTTAAGCCTCCAAAGACCATAAAGCCTTGTAGGGTGGCAAGAGTGTTGTAGCAGTGCCATGAGCTGGAGAGCTGTCTCTACACCCATTTTACATGAGGAAAGAGTGACTTGTCCACAGAAAGGCTGAAACCCCCAGATTCCTGCTTTTTCCTCCCCTCAGACCTTCTGCTCTCCCTGTGAAACAGCTCAGGAAGTAGGATCTGATTCGGGATTGTTGGAGAGTGCTCTCATTTGGGCCAGCAGTGCGAAGTTAAACGAGCTCAGGAGGCTGATGGGCTCCACCAGCTTTCCATGGAATTGCATAATCATCATACTTCTCTGGAGGAGTCATGATACCTTGGCAGAGTGGCACTGTCAGGATGTGACTGCAAAGGGACTCTGATCAAATAACTGGCCGAAGCTTGGAACAGGTTGGATGTGGCCAAATTTAGTCTGGATCAATGACAACAATTAAAAAAATTGTCATTATCCCAGGCTGCACATTGTCTTTCTTGATCGAATGTCCTTTTATTCTTCGCAGTGGGCCCCTGGAGCTGTTCAGTACCTAAAAGTCATGGCAGCTGAGCTTTAAATAACCAGAGCCTGTTGTTGTTCATCTTGCAGCCTGCCAAGGACTCAAACAGGGCTCATTTGGGTTTGCAAAGCCCTGAGAAAACACATGGTGGCCCCTTGTGTGGGTGCATGGAATGAGGTGCTTCTTTTTCCCCCAGCTGTGGGATATTCATGGAATCACAGAATATGCTGAGTTGGAAGGGACCCACAAGGATCTTTGAGTCCAACCCCCAGCCCTGCACAGGCCCGTCCCCAACACTCACACCATGAGAGTTGTCCAAACCCTCCTGGAGCTCTAGCAGCCTTGGTCCTGTGCCCACTGCCCTGGGGAGCCTGGTCAGTGCCCAACCACCCTCTGAGGGAAGAGTCTTTTCCCTGGTATCCGACCTCACCCTGCCCTGACAGTTCCCAGGTGCTGCTTTTCCACGTGCGTGAGGAGAAAGTTCAGGAATCACCCAGCAGCCACCTGAGGTCCAGCTGCTCAAGATCCATCTCCAGGCATCCTTCTCGTCTCCCTTGGGGGTCAAATAATCATGTTAACAAAAAGAACCTTCATGGGGTGGGGTAAGGAACATCACATCACCAGCAGTGGCAGCTCAGCTGGCAGGAGGCAGCTGCCCACCCTGCAGTCACTTCAGGGCTCTCACACACATGTCCAGGGACTTCTTACCAACTGTTTGACACACTGCAGAGGCAACTGAGTGTGGTCCAAGTGATTCAAACAAGCAGAGAGACAACCCAGTTTGTGTGTCAGACTCACCTGGGCATGGGATGGAAACACTGAGCTTGGAAAGAGCTTTAGATCCAGCTGCCCTTTCAGTGCACCCCTGATAAACTGCTTCACAACCCAGGTTAGACCATTAAACGAGGGTTACTGCTCTCTTGGTGGTGTGCTGGGGGACATTCTAGTGGGAGGTGTCCCTGCCCACAGCAGGGGGGTTGGAATGGGATGATCTTTAAGGTCGCTTCCAACCCAAACCATTCTGTGATTCTATTCCTTTGAAA